TATAATAGCCCGACCTTGGCCGTGGCGTTATTTGAGCACCCTTTACTTTAAAGGGTGTACAAAACTCAAGCAGGGTTTGTCTTGTGTACACCCTTCTACATCGCCTTTGCTTTTTGTGCTGTGTGTTAATTTTACTAAGTATTAACCAACCATATAACACGCATCGCCACCCTAATTGCCAACAAACATCGAAGAAAAAAAAAGCAGAGACGAACAAAGAATGCAAGGGCGGGGTAGAATTATTGACGGCTTTATACTGTGTCCTAAAAAGCGTTGCAATAACGACATGCTATTTGAAAATACTTTACTACTATTAAACTTCAGTTAAACGTTTATACAAAAACAAACAAACATTGTTTTGTTCTTACAATCGTAGCACAGTCAGCGTAAACGGCACTTTTTGTATTTTACGTAGACGTGGCATTGACAAGCATCAAGCTTACCCCTTCAGTGTTAGCTCCAAAGTGACTAATTTTCACCACTGTAGTAAATTTGATGATAATCCAAAAATATAAAAAAAAATAAAATCACAATAACTTGAAGGTCGATTGTTTGTACTCACTGTGTCTCGTAATTTACGTGCCTACATTAGGACGGACGATTTTTATTTCTAAAGCCTTTATACCTTTTAAGCACCTTTTTGTCCTAACTTGTGAACTGCCCTCTTTTGTTTTTTTTTGTTGTTTTTTTTCTTGAGAACGGGGCCCTTTTTTTTACTTGGTTCAAGTTTGGGTCTAGATATCAAACGACATGATGTCCTTGAGAATTTCTAAGATGGCAAATACTCTTTGTTGTATATGTATTTCTAATTTAAATACTTTTGATTATTTGTAATTGCATTAGTAGTGAATTAACGTATTTCGTATATGTATTTGGATACATTTTTGCACGTATGTTGCCCATCTCTGGTTCACAGTAAAGGTGTGTGTTCAAACGACGGACCTGTCCCCAGAGAAGTTTTTACAAAATCCGTGACGCCACTTTTGCTGGGCTTGCAAATCCGCCTGAGGAATCTTTTGTGTCATGTTTATACAGACGTCATGACGCTTCGGCGCGTCGGTTTGGCCCTAGCTTCTACTCGCTTTGCTCTTTAAATATGCGTATTTATAACGTGATTGCTAGTACAAAAAACAAGACTAAAATATACATAAAAATGCATAGATAAAAAAAATGTAAGAGATAAAGTGCGTGCAAGACCGCTGCCAAAATTAGAATGCGGCAAGGATGTGGCAACAGAAATTTAGAGGGTACATATTCTGCTCTTGCATGCATATATATTTCCCAGTATACAATTGTATCTTGAAAAATAAAAGGAACATATATAAAAAGTTCGACGACAAAAAATACAAAAAAAAAAACAAGAACAAAAAAAAAAAAAAAAAAAGAAACAAGAATCCTATGGCGCCCATACAAGCGATGGCGAAATTTTCGGTTTACCCCGAACATTTTACAAGCGATACCTAAAATTTTACAGGCGCTTGGAAAATGAACTAACATAGAAAATGTATCACTATAGTATAGTGATACATTTTACAGGCTGTGTGGTGAAGTTAGCGGTGTGTCCATAATAACTTACCGGATAGTATGAAGTATAGCAATTGAGACTTATTTTGGGGTTTTCTTTATCTAAAATTGATTTCTTACAATTGCCTCCGCTTTTGAACAATTTATTAAGGGTTAAATTGTTTTCTTAAGAACAATGACAAATCGCGTGCGATTTCTTTTTGTTTTTCTTTAACTTTCTTTTTATTTTATTTCATTTATTTTTATTTGCTTTAAGCAACCAGTATGCGAAACTTTAAAGTAATATGCAGTCTACTAAGTAATATCCAGTCTGCTTTGCGAAAACAAAACAACAAGAAGGACACGGCAGTTTAGTCATGTTCTGTAGAATGGTATGCACCCGCGGGCTAGATTGTAATTCATAGTTTGAAGGGTGAAAGCGCTAAACACTACGGACGAGTGAAAGAGACCAACACCACAGAGCGCTACCTTCTTTCAAGGTACGGTTTCATCTCGTAAACTCGTAGAAAAATAAATAACCCCAATGACAGCCGCCTTCCCAATAATAGTTGTCTGTTCTCGAAAAAGCGTTTTTGCAGAAATCATGGTCAAAGTTAGAACTGTGTGCAGTGGACTCACCTTATTTGAAGAACCAATGTCCGATCGATGTCCCTGGTGCGTCTGACAAGACAGATTAAAACGACGCAACACGGGTGCGCGCGAGGACGAAAATAGAAACGATGTAAGAAGGAAGACGTCTTGCGAAAAAACACCGGCCTGCCAATAGCCAGACGATCAAACCGGTCAGATGTGGAAAACATTCCTTATTCATAAGTCGAAAAGAGAGGGGGAAAAGTCAAGACTGCTGAGCAGAAATCTAAGCATGCGACTGATATCGCGCTGCGTCAATAACCTTCCTCGCCTTCGCATTACAAGGACTGGTATGTTTACAATGAACAATTTATGTCAAATTCCTTCGGTGGATTTGGAGTGATCCAAATGCGTTTCATGCTCGTTCCTTCGTTGCGGTAGATGCGAGCGCGCGTCAAAGAGTGTCTGCTGGCACGAGCTTTAAGCATTGTCCGTGCCACTAGCGCTAAGGCAAAATTTTTTAGCGGCTTTTGTATTTTTAATGTGAGTGCGTACAGTCGGCATCGGGTACTGGAAAGAGTGGCATCACCATAGTGAGAAGAACATTGAGGCACCCTAGGTAACGAAACTCATAATTAGTTGTGAGTTGTTTATACAGAGTCTGCCTGAACATGGCGAAATTGTCAGCCACTGTAGATAAGAAGTTACGTGCACCACTCAGTAGTGATACACGACCGCACGCCGGTACGATGCTCATTCAGATCGAAACGGGCAGGGGTGAGGATTGAACCCAGGATCTTTGGGTTCTGCAACGCAAGCTTTCGCTCCACTTTGCTGAGAGCTGGTGTGTGCTAGCCCACTCGGCTACCGATCCCTATAACGTAACTTGTATCATTGATTGATTGAAATCGTGTCTTTATTGATGAGAAAGGTTCGCCTGCCCATGGTCTGGTGAACCTGAGGCAGGAGGGAGGGGGTTGTGAGGGTTGTAGGGAGAGGGGATTATGATGATGATTAGGTAGGATCAGACATGCACAAATTACTCAAAAAAGGTAGTTAAGTTACTGAGTAGTGACGCCAAAAGTAATTGGAGTAGAGTAGAAATTACGCATTTGTAATAGTAATTGAGTAAACTACTAACTACTGCAAAAAGTAGCGAGTTACTTTGAAGTTACTTTCGAAGTTACTTTTTGTATTTTTGTGGTAGCCTGACACATCTGACAAGAAACTCGTTTTCAACAAAGAGGAGGTTTTCCCTGGCGTAGAAGGTTGGAAGGACGCGAAGGATTAAGTGAACAAGCATCGTCGCTCGTACAGTTGTAGCTTGAAACGGGAAGGTGCTCCCATGAACGGATTATCCGTGTCTGCGTTTATGGGCGGGGGAGTCCGGCTTTGCAAGGGAGTATGCGCTGACGACGAGGCGGCCATGGTAACAGGCGCCCAGCTGCGAGTTCATTCCAGTAGTGCCTACCCGTAGAACCCCAAACCACTTGAGTCAGTACTCACTAAAGGCAGACAACATGAAAACAACAACAACCCTCGGAGTGTCCCCGACTTCACGGTTGCAGTTGGAGGCGTGACGCCTACGTGCATTACCGGATTAGGTCAATACCCGACCAAGGCTTGCTAAGCATCTGTTCCAGCGTTCGTGCGCGCCAGTGTTATGTTTGGGCTGCTCGTCGCCACCTTGGCCCTAGGACGCCTGTGGGAACGGAATATGAGGTGGCCCTTTGCTCGTCACTTCATCTGCCGGCGTCTTATTTATTTCTGCGCTCAAACTTTTTGGGGTGAGCAAAATTAGCACTAGATTTTGAAAGTAGTTAGTAATTTGAGTAGAAGTTACCTAAAAGATGTGGTTAAGTTAAACTACTAATTACCCAAATAAAGTTGTAATTGAAAGTTACCAAGTTACTCGGAAAAGTAGTTATACTACAATAGCTTGAGTAGAGTAGTTGAACTACGTCCAAGTCTGGGTAGGATGAATTGATGGACCGTGGATGTCCTGATAAAACGTATCAGTGAATCCAGGATTTGCTTTCTGCGTTGTGCCTGTCCTTTTGGGGTGGGTCCAGGCTTCTAAATTCTTTGGTTTCGCCTCACTCGTTAGAGAGGCCCATGCGTCTTGTTTGAATTTCTCCAGACTCTTGTGTTTTGTTGTCAGCAACGCTCCTGCGATGCACTTGTTGCACACAGGGTTGATGTCTTCATTTCCTTCTTCCTTTTTTGTAAATGCTGCTTTTCTTGCCGGTGTTAAGGCTGTACCGGGCCTGATTCTTCGTAATCGTACATTCTCCTACCTCGTGTACCCTTGCGTCATTGGGTCTTCCACTGTCAGTAGAAGGCCTTTCAGGTAGAGTTCGCGTTCTTCTTTTGCCGATTCGGCTTTTTCTTCTGGGTCAATGAAAGTTTCTTCGGTTACTTCTTCCCGAGAGGATCGGCCAGTTGCAGAGCTGGTGCTGCTACCTGCCTCCGCGGCGGCCTGGTGTACCCTCTCGTTGCCTGGGATGTCAGCCGGCCCGGGTAGCCATTCAATTGTCAGTGTAGAGCCTTGTTTTTTTCAGCTTCTTTGCGATTATATTGATGTTTTTGACTGTCCTGTTTCTTGTTTTGCTGTTTCTGCACGCTTTAAGCGCCGTCTGCGAGTCTGTGAATATTCGGGCCGTGTAGCCCGGCTGGAGAGTTTCTTTAATGTCTTCAGCAGCTGCCAGTATAGCTTTCAGTTCGGCCTTTCTGACGGACGTCTGTTCTGAGAGTTTTGCTGTTTCAAGTTTGTTCCCAGTTTTATCTGTCCAAGCTATAGACACGGCCGCGGTGTTCTTCGCGGCATCCGTGTATCTTATTTCTCCCTTTCTTTCTTCTTATGTAGGTGCGTGTCTGGGCCTGGGGTCCCCCTTTTCAACTAAAACTTGAGTCTTGGCATTCTTCATAGCTTCGCGGATGACATTTTCTATGTCCTCATTCAGCTTGAAGCTCTCTTCGAGTATCTCACGAAATTTGTCCCATTTTATGAATGTTCTTGATTCCTTGGCATTATTTCCTCCTGTATGCTTGATTTTTATCTCAATAGGGTAGTGGTCGCTGCCGTGTGTGTCTTTCCATGGAGTCCACTGAAGATCGAGGTTTGCCGTGGCCAAAGTAAGGTCTGGTGCGGTGTCTTTGTGATTTCTTTGTTTAGCCAGCCTTGTTTTAACGCCCGGTTCTTCGCAGAGCTCGAAGTTGTTGGTTTGCATGGCTTCTAAGACGTCTCTGCCTCTCTTGGCGTTAATCTCGTATCCCCATTCGCGGTGTTGCGCATTGAAGTCTCCTCTGATGATCGTTGGGTCTCCTTCCGCTAGCTCTGATATCTTACGGATCCACTCCGCCGTTTCCCCGTCGTTACGGGTACCTCTTGGTCGGATTTAGACCGAGACTACAACAAGCCTGATATTACCCCTCTTCAGCCTGACTGCAGTCACCTCCCGTTCGTCCGAACATAGTTGGGAGGTGTTGACGTAAGCATGTGGTATGTGCCTTCGTACGCCAATGGCCGCCCATCCTTTTTTCTCCATGGGGTTTTTCTCTCTGTAACTGGGATTTGACTTTATTGTATGTGTCACATAGAATTCAAACCCGGGTAGTGTCATATTGGGCGTTTTTGTTTCCTGTAGGAGCAGGATGTTAGGTGGTTCCTCTCTATCTAAACGAAGCCTCATCTCCGCCATTCTCTCCGAGAACGTGTTGCAGTTCCATTGAACGATTCGGGTCGTTGCCTTGTTTGTCGGTCCGGGTCTTTTACCTTTATTTACCATGCTTGAGGGTGGCAGTGTCTTTCTTAATATCTGCCATAACTCTGAAGACTACCTCAAAGCCCATTGTCATCTCCGTGCTCATCTTGGCTACCTTTGTTTTCAGCTTAGTTGCTCTGGATTCCAGGTCTTCCTTCTTTTTGGGCTGTTTTGTCATTCCTTTCGTTGTGCTTCGAATCCAATCAGGTGAAATCCATTTAGGGATTGTTTCTTCATGGTTGCCTTTTATTGCCGAATCTTTCATATGATTCGCGTTGAACCAAAAGACTTCCTGAAGATTTCCTTTAATGTCTTTTTGGTTTATTGGAGGGGTTGGTACTAGCTTGGCCGCCGCCGCGTAGTTTGCCCTTCCTTGTTGCGATCGCTGCCGCTGACTGGTCTTGTTCTTGGGTATCTGTCTCTTGGGGCATTCACTTCTGAATGCCACACGGCGTCCGCCGCAGTTTCTACACTGCGGTTCTCGTTCGCATTCCTCCATGTCTTCATGTGCGTGTCCATACTTCCCGCAGCGGCGCTCCTTGTTAGGACAGACATCGGTCATGTGGCCGAGACCGTGGCAGCGGAAGCACAGTATTGGTCTCGGGAGGTATGGTTTCATATCGTAAACCTCCCTGTAGAATATAACTTTTCTTGGGAGCGTTGTTCCTTCAAATGTTATGACCACTGTGTTGCTATTTTTTTCCCATGAGGCGAGCGCAGACGATCTTGTTTGTTCTACAATCCATGTCTTGCTTGAAGGTTTCAGGGGTCTCATCATTGTTGTCACCATGCAAGTATGTAACTCCACGTACGTGATTGTTCCCCATGGCCTTGTATGGGCGCAAGGCATATGAATTATCGCCTTTCTTCACCTCAGTATTTTGGAGGAGTGTCTGTTATTAGTCCATTCCGAGTCGTTAGTGCGATAGTGTTGGTTTTTGGTAGTATTTGGACCTTGTAGTCGTTCGGGCTGGCGATTCCCGCCTCTTTTACTGCCTTCTGTTTATTTCAAGTTGTGAAGCCTTTGACATGTTCTCTGCTGATCGGCTTCAGGACAATTGTCTGTGTTGGCAGTCGATCTTCGTGTTTTTCTTCCGCAATTGTCTCCTCTGCTGTAGTGAACGCCAGCAGGCTCACACACCGGCGCTTGCCCGCGGCTATTTGTCAATTTTCTGCCCTGGAATGTTTTTTTAATAAGGAGAGCTTCATGCTATCGGGCTCGTCCCTCCCCATGGCAACGATTAACGCCGTTCCCATTCATTGCACAAATACGTACAAACGAGCCTCTCATTGCAAGAAAAAGCGGAAACCGCTTCTTAGCACACTTGCGGTAACCTCGGTGCCTTGTTGCTTTTTTTTTTTTTTGTGTCGATGTCGTTCACGAGTTGTTACTGCAGTCAGGAGACGTCTAATAAAACCCGGGTCCACATACTCGCAGCGTAGGCAACCAAACCGACTACCATTAATGCAATCTTTGCATAACTAGACGCTGGCCAAGCTTTAGTTATGTCTGAGCCGCCTGAGCTAAAAGCGATGAACAATAGACTGGCAGCAAGCGAAGAAACACTACACGAATTAACCACCCATATCACTAAAACTGAAACAGAGTGTTCTTCTATCCATGAAATCCTTTCCAACGTTGACAGGTTGTTGCCGTCAGCCGCCGAAACATCAATTGCACTGGCTAACCTCGATGATAGACTTAACAATGCTGAGATCAAGTCGTCCCAACCTTATTTGTATTACATTGCCGAAGGTGCCTCTGAACTGTGGAATGACAATGAAAATGTAATCAGTAATCTTTGTAAGGACCATCTTGGCGTGTCGATTGAATCCAAAAAAATTGAAATAGCACACCGGGTTGGAAAGGTTCAACCAAACAAACATCGCCCAATTGTCGTGAAATTTACTTTTTTTTTTTTTTTTTTTTTTTTAAACAAGAGAAATGGTGTTGTCAAGCTGTATCAAGTTTAAGGGCAAAACCTTCAGCGTTGGAAAAGACTATTCTGCAGCGACTCGTATAACGCGCAGGGAATTATTACGCTTGCCCGCAACCAAAACGCTCCTTTTAAACTTCGGTACAAAAAGCTGGTCATCGGAAATAAAACGTACAACTACGATACGACTGAAATGAGGGTGCAAGAAGGATTCCCAATACAGCCCCAAGCCGCATGCATCTCACCGCCCCGAGTTGGATCCCGTCCTCCTCACGCCCATAAATAAAACGTCCTGCAACCCAAATGACGGCTCATTTTCAGTCGTTTTTACTAATATTCGGTGTGTCACGTCAAAACAAGAAATATATAATCTAATCCGATTGTCTGAATGTGGCATTGGTATGTTCACAGAAACGCGGCTTATGTCTGCTACCACAGACTTGGAACTTTTCCGCGCGTACCTGAGTTTCTTGTATATTGACGAGACCGCACACGAACGAGAAGGTGGGGAAGGGGGGGGGGGGAGAGGAAGACCCATGCAAGATGGAAGATTTCGGGGGGGGGGGGGGGCGGGTTCCATGGGCCTCCCCTCTGGCTACGTGCCTGCCAAGAGTGCAGGGGCAAAGTAACAAAACAAGGAACATTTAATATATACATTGCTCGCATTTGACCTTTGCTGTATTCAGATAGTATATCAATGGACTACACGGGTGGTATGTGTGAACTTGTTTATATCAACCCTCATGTAATGTATAACAAACGTAAGCGAAGGTATCTAGCTCGTTATTAGTCCCTTAAGCCCTAAAATTCAGATTTTACCTAAATCAAATTGTCCTGAAGCTAAAATACCAGAAGCTTTTCTCACGCAGACTGTCGCCCTTCATAGGTTCCTCATTTTCTGCTACTAGTGATCCATCTACATAGATGCTTCACTAGTAGCAGAACATGTGGAACCTATGAAGGGCGACAGTCCGCGTGAGAAAAGCTTCTGGTATTTTAGCTTCAGGACAATTTGATTTAAGTAAAATCTCAATTTATGGCTTAAGGGACTAATAACGAGCTAGACACATTCGCTTACGTTTGTTATCTACAACTGGACAGACGTTCGAATGCTTGATTCTACTCCTGTTTTCCTCTGTTGTCAGAAAGTCCAGCTGTAGGGAGTTTGGAGGCTGAGGAAGCTTTTGGGGACCTGCAGCAGTGTCACTTTTAATTGGAAATGGCAATTCAGACTAAACGGTGTATTTCCCGAATACCCAAGGCTGGAATAAAGAATGTCAGGAAAAAGTATAAACAATCCAAATTACGGCACTATTGCTGTGCATATTTTGGGCAGCTCAATACATATATCACACAGTCAAATGGGGGCAATTCGGCTGTTTTCGATGCTACCATACGAACTAATTTCCAGTAATTGCGCATCTTCTAAGAAATATGCCTGCATACGTGTATAAACTATATAATTAATTCACGAAGAAGCTACATTTATGTAAAACAACCCTGTTCCACAAGCACTTCCAAGATCATCAGACGCAGGGCCTTTAATACATCTGCGAACCAGCGCATGCAGAGTGGCAGCGCAGGGTCGGGGTCGCGAGCTAATTTGCCGACCGATTAAAGGCCCATGATATAAATGCCACTTCGAATGCCTTGAAAACGAGGTGTAATATCGTCCTAAATCATGAACATGCAAGGAATAGAATTTCAGCGTCTGAAACATTTGCGCCACCGCTTCACCGACCCCTCGCAAGATTGCCTTGTGTCATGTGGACGGACGGAGAGGTTCATCGGCGGTATTGGCTCCGCCGATAGCTTTCGGGTTTTGTAACCCAATTTTCAATGTAAAAGGGACAAGCAGGCTTATAAAATGTACGGAAGCACGTCAATATCGGCCCAACTCAACGTCTTGTACACCGGGTAAACGAAGTCCAGCTGCTCGAACAGCTTGCGGCACACAACGAGCCGATGCGAGATCGCGGAGCGGAGTCCTCCCCCTGACGTCACAGTACACCTCACCCAATCAGGGTACGGCGACCGCAGCGACGCTTGTGTTCGCTCTCGTGGCTAATACAGCTCCGCGTCTAGCGCCGGGCACGCATCACTTGTGTTCATCATTTTAAGACCGACTATACCTCTTTTGTAACAAACTGAACGAGCTAATAGAAAAATTTGTACAAAACATTACCATTAAAAGGAAACCATCTGCCCATAGTTTAAGACTGCAATTAAAAAAATGAGCAACAAAAAATACGTTTATTTAGATTAGTCAAAACAAAACACATACCCTTAACATTGCTACTGCATTATGAAGCAGAGAAACATTTTAGGAATGCAGTTCACAAAGCTAAGCAGAGCTTTTTTGGAACCACTCTACCAGATATGCTTAAAAATAACCCCAAAAAGTTTTGGAAAACTGTAAATCCTTCAGCCGTGACTTCAGTTACTTTACGTGGCAATTTCAATGACCTATTAGGTAACAGTGAATGTGCTAATACGTTGAACTGCGCTTTCGGCTCCGTTTTTACGCAAGAGCGCAGCCTGACCTCACCAACTACTACCGAAATAATCTCATTCCTAGAACTATGTCGCAAATAATAGTTATCTACTACGACATAGTTAATGTGATTAACAATACGAAGCTTTCATCAGCTGCTGGACCAGACAACAAGCGCAGCCTGACCTCACCAACTACTACCGACATAGTGATTCCTGAAAGTTTGTCGCAAATAATATAGTTATCTACTACGGCATAGTCAATGTGATTAACAATATGAAGCTTTCATCAGCTGCTGGACCAGACAACATCAACTGCAAAATACTGAAAAGCACAAAGGCGATATGCAGCGCCATTCTCGCATTATGTTCTCGCAATCACTCCAAACAGGTCACTCCCCCGTTCGGTGGAAGTAAGGTAAGATCATTGCAATACCGAAATCCGATGCCAGGTCTTCACCATATAACTACCGGCCAGTATCTCTGACAAGCGTGTCATCAAAAAGTTTGGAAAACATAATTTTCGAAAACATTATAAATCACCAACAGCGTAACAATTTCATACACCCTTCACAATACGGTTTCCGTAGGGGTCTATTTTGTGAAACAACCAGCCGGATTCATTCACGACCTACATGTTAATGTCGACAATAACACACAAACAAACACCATTTTTTTCAAATTGAAAAAAAAAGAAACATACAACGAAGTCTCGCATCGCCGACTTATTTCTATAGATTATGCAAGGCAAGTTATTAATCCAGGATAACACGAACGGGTCTATATACCCGTTCGTGTTATCCTGGATTAACAACTTCCTTTCCAACAAAAATCAGTTCGTTATTGTATGATAGCACTCCTTCTAACACCAGCCTCGTTTTTGCTGGAGTCTCCCAAGGCACAGCGCTTGGCCCTCTTTTTTTTTTCATATACATTAATGATTTTCCGCTCTGTGCGTCTAATAACATCCGTCTCTTCGCCGATAAAAATTGACAGTTACGACGACCAAGTAAAATTGCAGGCAGGCCTTCCAGTTAAAGAAAACTGGTGTTAATGTCAAATAAATGTTTCAAGATGTAAACTTGTCTCCTTTCACAAACGCACCAATCCATTTACCTATAATCACTCTATAGTAGTTCTGTCTTGCAAGCAACTAGTACTTACAAATACCTTGGCGTACACTTCAGTAAAGACCTTTCATGGTCCATCCACATAAACAGTATAATTTCCACTGCAAGTAATCCCTTGGTTATCTGCTACGTCGTGTCGGGTTTAAATGAAATGCGAGCAGCGGAGCGCGTGGCCGTCGGTACATGCTGAGCCTCCAGGAGTCCTCTTGAATCTGATAAAACTGCGGGTTGGAGAGTATGGCGCTGCGCGGGTGTGTATCCTACTCCTATGTGTCTGACCGTCGCTCAGCACAACCTAAGCTTCGATGCTGCGACGGTGGTGCGCTGGGAGTTCCTTCGGAGACACTTTCCTTGGCTCGGAATGAGCCATGTGAGGGAGCACACCGCTCGCAGCAGGAGCAGCCTGCTGAAAGCAGGAGCAGAGGCAAGCGCGTCCGTGTAACATTATTGCAGTGTCATGCTCTCTCCTTACTTGCGCAGTTTTTATTTTAATTTTATATATATACGTTGTCATTTTGTTGTGAATTGTATAGCAGAAACTGTGCGAAATTCAAGACAGAATAACAAGAGGGGACCCAGGTCGACTGCTGACACCTAAGTGAAGTCAACTACTTCGTAAACATTTATGTATCAGCTCCCAGTCCTCGCCTTGTGTCTCCTCTCGTTATTTTGTTTTGAATTTCGCACAGTTGATGCTATTTCTGCGGCCTCAGCGTTAATTATATCGTTCTCGACAGCTTATTTTCTCTTCAATATCATGTTTCCATGTCGGTTTATGTCGATTGATTTGAGGTTTGACATCTCTGGAAATGAATAACATAGAACTCTGATATCTATGTTTTTGTATTTAATTCTTAAAATCACAGTTAACCATCAGTGAGAGTCTCGAAGTACTCAGCTGTCTAATGGAGATCGTTTTTGGCTTGATCATTTCAGTTTTTAAGTGCTATTTGTGGCGGAAGTAGCTTTTTTTGAGTATCTAGAAATATCCAAAGGGAACTAGCGAGTGCTGGGCTTGAAAGGAGTGTCTCTTTTTTTCTTTCCAGTGCGCTCCCGGCGGTTTGTTTGGACGCAGAAAAAGAATGACCAAGGCTGACGCGCATGAAATGATACGTGCTGTCAATTATTTATTCAATTACTTATTTTATTTACCTATTATTACTGCAATGCTTGCAAATAATTTCAGCGGTGGATACATGGGTGAATTATGAAAAAGCGTGCAAAAAATAGGAACAATTAAATGTGGGAAAACAACTAAACAAATATTTATAAAATAAAAATTATTAGGAGAAATGCAAATAATGACATTAATGGCTGCGTAACGAGATTTTGAGCAAGGTTATTCCAGTCCGTTGCTGTTCGTGGGGAAAAAAGAAAACTTGAAGCATTTATTATCCGAGCGGAAATGAGTTATTCTTAGGGTAAAACTGTCGTGGGGTGTAGCGTAGCATGGTGAGAAAGTGATGAAGCGAGACATAAGGCCGTTCAATTAATTTGTAAAACAATATAATAGTCTTTAAATGATTCGTACGAAAATTCAATATTTCGAGGATTCAAGTACGTATTTGCTTTATTTATGGCCATACACTTTTCAGTGCACCAATTACTAATGTATTCGCCATTTATTGATCAAAAAGATCCATAGTCATTTAAATGCGATCGCTCTCATCCGATTTCCTGAATAATCAATGCTTTTCTTTTTTTTTGCGTTGTCACGTAACTTTGGATTAACCCTACTCTTACCCGACGTCAACGGTCCCGAAATCGATGACCGTAAATTCAAACACATTTTTGTTTTATAGCTCCACGCCTACGACAGCGCACAAATCACCTTGGCGCAACGTTGGCGAGTTCACAGACAAAAGAAGCCGGCTGATTGGCACTGGAGTTTCTTTGAGGAACACGCCGAGCAGTTAAATGGCACATACATAATCTGGAACCAACCACCCTTGCAGCACACCAGCTATGCCTGACACGGGGCCTGAAGCGGAAAAGGCTACCCTCCTCCTGCGGCTTCGCTGTAGGAGTGCTTTCATGCGTGCTTTCCTCTCACAGATATCCGCCGTCGACAACCCTGCGTGCCTTAAATGGCCCGAAAATAAGATGTTTCGCCGTACCCTTTTGCATTGCCCCGATTACTCGGAGGCTCGTCAAGATCTGCTAGCAAATCTCACGAAGGTTGGAGTAAGGGACCCTTCGGAAAGGACACTCGTTTTCCAACTGGCTCCAACCGACGTCGAACAACGATTCAGAACCACCTACTAGACTTTCTCGAGTCAACCGGACTCGACAGTATACACTATAGCTGTTTCCTCTCATCATACCCCAATCTATCCTACAGGTCCTAGCTAACCCTCTCTCATTTACCTCTTCCTGAAATCTTTTGATCTCTACCTTTCTCTCTCCAGTGTTAGGACCTATACGCGTTATACGCCCTCTCTTTCACTCTCTCACCACTTAGTTTTCTAAGCAAAACTAGCTCAACACATTCGCCAGAAGAACCTTTGCTTCTAATCTCACGAACCCCCCCCCCCCCCCCCCCCCCCGGGTGACCGGGGCACCATAATTATTAAAGTTATAACAGGGGTGTCAATATTATCGAATTAATAGCGATATACACCACATGTACAGCGGCCAGCACTGTGAGCGGGAACAGCCCGAACGGGACAAAATGCCGCATAATATTCCCCTACGTCTTAACCCACGGAACATAATGTCGTAAAGCGAAATTATGGAACCTGCCAGTCTACCACAATGTTACCTTTTTACACCTAACGCGCCTGGCGCGTCTCACATTACATTTTTCTCAAGAACCACTGTTTCCGCTTATATCGCCGGCTACGTACTCTACAGCGTGCAGTGTAAGCAACACATCAACAACCTGATGACTCATAGCCCATGTAAGCGCTTATTTTAAAGTTGCATACTCTCCCTACCTTATACGAATATTTCTAAATCACCGTTAACGTACAGGCGAGCTGGTGAACATTAACCATGATGAATAAAACCCGAGACTGGGGTCTGAATGAGAAGCACCATAGGTCCAGAGAACAGAAATAGAAAAAGGACTGTACGACGTCTCAAAACGAGGCGTCGTTGATTTTGTTTTATATATTTTTTTTATTTTTTATGCTTCTCTTTTATCCCCCGGCCTCAAATTTATTTCATCACGATCATGAACCACATTCATAGCACATTTATATCACGCTACAATTACCTTAATCAGACGAACTAACTTGGACATGGGTAATCCTATTTCAATTCTTGTGGCTGCTACGAAATGTTTCGCCTAAGAACCTATTCACCGTTCTAACGCTTATCGCCCAGACTCATTGGATTCTGGGCACGGGCGCAGCTCACGGAATTCCGTGGCAGAAAGCTACAGGTCATGATCAGAACACGTTAAGGCGGCGGTACCACTTTCGCCATCATTATTGTTGGTGATTAACGTTTTATTTTTTACGACACTTAGAAAGCCGCTACGGAGCTGTCGTTTTGCACGAATTTTTGTGATTACAACAAAATTTTATTGACATAACTAATTTACGTGATCAGAAAATTAGAAATTTAGAAATCGTGTACCGGATCCCAGATTTCTCCTTTTTTCATAAAGTTAGGACCACCATCTTTTCATTCATACTGTCATGGCTGTTGTGGTTGTTTTGTATACAGCCTTTTTTGCGGCTTCAATTTTAAAACAAGATAAAAATATTAAAACATTATTTTAACGATGCAGGTTGATTTTCTAAGGCTATTTTAAAATTGAAATCGCATAAAGGGCTTTATACAGAACAAGCCCACAGCCGTGACAATACGAATGAATAAAAAAAAAAGGTAATCCTAACTTTATTAGTAAACGAGAAATTTGCGATCCGGTATGCGATTTCTAAATTTCCAATTTTCTGATCACGTAAATTAATTATGTCAATAATGTTTGGTTGTAATTTACCCACCAATATTAGAAAGATGCGTGCAAAACGCCAGCTCTGTAACTGCCTTTTAAGTAACGTAAAAAACTAAAACGCACCAGCAATCAAGATGGCGGCCGTGGGACCGACGCCTTAATTAGGCCTGGCTTACGCTTACACCGAATCCACTGCCACCAATACATAATCGGCCGCGGCGATGTACACATGGCCGCGGCCGTGTGTACATCGTTATGGCAGCAGCCTGATTACCGCAGTAGACATAAAGATAAAGTGGACCAAGCGTCGTTGCAAATAAAAATTCTCTCTCTCCTTTCTCTCGCTGAACGCGATTGTTCGAAAGATCTATACTCTGCGTTACTCTGCCAATGTGTAGGTTCCTTTGAACCTACACTGCCAATGTGTAGGTTCCGATGAACAAATCACAAAGCGCTTCTCGCTTTGTGATTTGTTCATCGGAGTTCTTAGCTCCGAAAACCACAATTAGTCAACTGCGGAGCGATAGTACGAGGCCCTGCCACGCCGTCCGTTTCTTAGGCTGTGAGTGACCATAGCTGTGTAACACTTCAGCTAAACTCCTTCAAGACGAACTTTTGCAACCATGTTTACTCGCTCATGTGCGTTATTTCACTTTGTTCCGTTAAGTGTTCATTCACCGCTCTGCTTTGTTCTCGAATTTCAGTTTGATGCCATCTACTGGACGAAGTACCAGGTTGGGTACCGTCACTGGGATAGGATCGACCGTCTCTTCACTTGGGATCACCCTGTACTTGCGCAGAATCTCACAAAGCGCCATTTTGACTTCGAGCAAAGCTAATCTTTTCCCAAAGCAGTACCTGGGCCCTAGGCCGAACGGAATAAACGCGAGCGAATGGCGCTCCGGGTGCTCTTCGGCGAACCTGTCCGGGAGGAACCTGGAGGGCTCGGGCCAGGACTCGGGATCTCGGTGGATGTGCCAAGCGGGAGCGAAAACAGAGGCTCCAGCCGGAATGAACTGATCCATCACGGTCATGTCCCGGGGACATATTCTTGCAATCAGAATTGGGAGGGCAGGGTACAGCCTCAAGCTTTCGTTGATCACCATGTCCAGGCGTTTGAGATTCTGGATGCTGTCCAGGGAGATCTCATCGTCGTAGTGTAACACGGCGTCAATCTCGGAATGTACTTTTTCTTGTTCTTCGGGATTCGTGGCCAAAAGGTAGAGCGTGAATCCAATCGCCGTAGCTGTTGTCTCGAAGCCAGCGGCAAGAAGAACGAGGGAGTTGCCAATGACGTGACGGTCCTCAATGAGAAGACCGCTCTTCTGCACGTTGTATGTCTTGTCCTCAACACCGGCTTGAGCGTCAAGCAGCATCTGAAGCATGTCGTCTTCACGGGGGCTTTGTCCTAGGCGCCGCTTCTCCACAGTGTCGCGCACGTTTTCGGCGATGCGATGGAGCATTTTAGAAAGACTGGTCAGCGGGTAGATACGCTTAAGGATGCCCCTTATTCCAGGCAGGGCGAGAGTGCTCTCGATGGCGGTTGAGTCTAAATCTTCAAATATTCGCCTGAGCCCGAGCAGCAACGGGTCGTCCGACTTCAGTTGGCAGTTTACCTGTGGATTAGACATGAGACACTCTTTTTAACCACAATTATTGCGTTGCCGTACTATACGTATTTGTTTTCTAACGAAGGGGAGAACGTTTTACAGCATCAAGATAACAGGAAACATACAGGAAAAGTTAAGCGACGGGAATAATATTGGTATTCAAGATATCCTCGTCAGACAAGAGCGACGACCAACAACAAGCGACTGCGAAAAACGAAAATGAGCCACAAACACCGCCTCACCTGCATGGTGGACGCGAAGCAGAACACACGGACAAGGAAACTTTTCCAAGGGAACTGAAGTTGTCAACAAAACACTTCAAAAGACACAGAAAACAGGGTCGGGCGACGCAGTTTGCGTGTTCTGCACTTTGGGCGGGAAGCGCGCCGAAAAACACTAAGAAAGTAGAGAAATCGTTATTAGAGACCAGCTCTTAGGCGCCCGTTAAAGGGTGTAGCGGCGTCAACGTAGGCGTAACCGCGCGCGTTGCATTATGGATCGTCACAGTTTCCCCTGTAAATTTAGCGGGAAAACTGAATTGGTGTTGAGGTCACGTGACGTCGATTTCCCCGCTAAGTTTAGCAGGAAAGTTTAGCGAAAGTTTCTCGCTAAATAGAAGGAGAGGAGGGAAAGGAGGGGCATACCCTGCCCTCCTCCTCATCAAGAACTGCGCTCTAATTTCGCATTACTGAGAATTGTAAACGTCCTTCATTTTTTTTAAAATCTGAATTAAAGCTTTCGCTTGGTTTTTATTTGCCGTTGGCAACTTTTTGCAAACCGGCATGATCTTCCTAACCCCTAATCTCTAGCCCGTCCAAGAAAGTATGGGTTTTATTCTAAGTATCTGTTATTAAAGCAGCTGTGTTAATAGGACAGATCTGTCGGTACTATACTGAATTTGTTTTAATGACCTGTAGTAAAAAAGGACAAACGCCTTCAGTGTGCACCATAACGCCCGAATGCCATTGCGTTCCACTGAGGGTTCCACAAGTCAACATAATTTCTCATCTACACCCTTAGAGATAGGAAGTGTATAGGGGTCCATCCCTTGTCCCATGTGTAACACCCCATAACTACATTTGGACGTTCAGTCCACTGACGTCGAGCTGGCAATACCAACTTTTACGAGCGGCTTAATAGCTGTTGGATATAACGTACTAAACAGCTAATCTGTGTATCAAAGACTAGAAAAAGAACTTTTTGCAGCAGTGCCAAAAAACCTTCATTGTCCTCCTGCAGTCATCAATGCGTACATTAGTTATTTTAATAAGTTGTATTGGTCGACTATCAAGCCGCTCTCGAAAGTTAATATTATCAAATCGACGTCTGTGGACTGAACGTAGAATTGTTGTTTTCGGGTGTTACATATGGGACAAGGGGTGTACCCCAATACACCCAGTGCATAGGCTAATATAGTCGCCAACAACTTGAGAAACGTAGGTCATGGTTTATTTACTTCACGATTCTGCTTTGTGGTTTCTTTTTCTGCATTTTCATTGGCTTATGCCGCAAACCTGACTGGTTGCGAAGTAACAATAAGATGCTCGAGATGTGCTCGCGTCCTGTTTATAACCAAACGATGGATTCTACAGTGTTCATGTGTCGCGTGTACCGTTGTCCGGTATAACCACACGTGCACCCACCTTCCATGCCAGTGCACACTTGGTGATAACGTCTAGGGAGTATCCCTCGGCCACGTCCATGATATCGACAAGCTCGTCACGTTCGTGATGCCCTTCGAGGACTCGCACAAGTTCCTTCGCACATCCGCTCACGATTCCAGAGCAACGGTTCACCCTGCTGGCGGTGACGGTGGCATTGAGCACGGTGCGCACCTTCTTCCATTCCTCGCCTGGAAAACAGCGTTTGTACCATATTAGGCATCAAGTGAAATAGCTATATTCCTTATTGATGTTGCCGTGGTTTCATACACACCTTAGTGAGCAACCACATTTCAAAACCTAGTCTGGCCACCGTGGTACATCCCCGATTGTGGATCTAACCACGGTGGCACGTTCCAGGCAACCTAGTGGTTTTTTTTTTGGTTTTTTTTCTGCTTTCGAGAGTAATTGATATGGCCCGCCGAGAGCGAGAGGTTTGTTGGTGTTGCCACTGAACGACCTAATACAACGAACACCTCCTTGAATGATCAAAACCTGCTAACATCTTCTTCTTCTTCCATAAAACGCCGTCATTGCCTGATGGCGCCAACGGACTACTTTGAAAAATCCCAGCAGGGAACACTGCAAGCGTTGTATTATGTGACTTTTTTTGACTACGGATAGCAGTTGCGTGGTTTATGCTTCAATTGCCCAGTTGGCGAATTATTGAAACTCTAAAATACAACCCTCCCTTCCTCAAAAAAAAAAAAAAAAAAAAAAAAAAAGTTTTTCAGAGTTTTTTGCGTATTGGTAGGGAACACCAACATTATGATAAATTCAAAGAAAGTCACATATTCAACCAGAGTTTTTACAATACACTCTAGAGGCTCAGCTGGCGCTAGCGTCTACGGGACTTCCGATTGCAAATTGAAGCAGATAGCATGCAGTCTACATTTCCAGCCTCCCTGTGTATTCCTATGGGAAAACGCGTGTGAATTTTTTCTCTTCGCCGGAAAATAACATGAATAACTTTTGTCATTTCAATTGTACCGGATAGCATGTACCTTTATTGGTGTTGTGAAAGTGTAATTGCTTTAGTTACAAAATTTTTTTTACCACTGAACGATGTTAAAATTCGCTGTAGCTCAGGCCAAAACCTCCGTTTCAAGGAATGTATGTGAAAACGGGCGACGATTCTAAGCAAACTAACAATCGAAAGGAATGTAGAGTGTGTTCAAGGTTTGCTAGCATTTCGATGGTGCTTATACAGGGTGTTTTTTTTTTTTTTTTGCTTAACAGATTTGTTTAAAAAAAGACGTGAAAGTTAGACTTATGCCGCTTGTGGAAATGAGTTATACGGCCAGGGGGACATATTATAGAGGGCTAATTGTAACGATCAGTCGTCTAATTATTTAAATTTCGTTAATTAACTTTTTTATTAATGAAAATAGACATATGGTTTCGATTAGAAACTTGCTCAGCGTCATCAAAAACCACTAAATCAGATATTTTCAGAAAGACTTTGGGCGCATGAGAAGCGTAGTAGTGCACTAAAGTTACCGCTCCTGGAGCAGGTACAAGGCTAGGGCTAGATAAGAGACGGAAAAATCGCGCGGGCGCCATATCGCAACCGCTAGCTTTGTACCTGCTCCACGAGTGGTAACTTTAGTGCATTACTACGCTTCTCACGCGCTCAAAGTCTTTCTGAAAATGATTGATTTAGTGGTTTTTAATGACGCTGAACAAGTTTCTAATTCGAACCATATGTATAATTTCATTAACTAAAAAGTTAATTAACGAATTTTATTAATTAGTCGACTGATTGTTACAAGTAGCCCTCTATAGTATGTCCCCCTGGCCGCATAACCCACCTCCACAAGCGGCATAAGTGTAACCTTCACGGCTTTTTTTAAACAAACCTGTTCAGCTTAAAAAAAAAAAAAAAAAAAACACCCCGTATATTGCTAATATGCCCGTCCTGTCATTGGATGGAAATGACTCCGTCGTGCATCTTTACGATTGGTTAAAGAAACATTCGAACGCAAAAAATAAAGCATGTGAGCTACAAAAGGTGTATCTTTTTAATATTTCTTATATCGAGCAGTTTCTATCGGGCACCTGCTCTCTGGCTCCCCCTATTTGCAAAGATTTGGAGCGTGCGGGTGATGATTTGAACCCAGAAGAAGCGTCTTCGCACAATTCATGAACAGAAAGAAGAAGGCAGTACTTATTTATTGCAAACCTGACTATATTACGTGGCTTTCAATCTATTCTGATCGTCTGCGTGCACAAGGAGTTACTTATATAGTATTACTGCGTAGCTCTTGCCGCCTCTCTTGGTTTTCCACATGTCCTCCATTCGTTTGGCAGTGGCACGTATATCCCCCATGCTGGAAACCGTCGACGCCGTGTTCGCGCTAACAGTGTCCGACAGTGCACATAAATGCACGTACGAAGCGGTTTTAACACAGTTTTTTATGTCACGAATTCCAATTAAGAATGCTGTAACTGACCAATTATTTCGTCTGCGTGACTGAGAAATGTTCCAATGTGCCTAGTACGTACAAATTATTTGTGATATTTGCTCTTATAAGCGAGCACAGAGAGAAAATGCACTCTCGTTTTCCCATAGAAATGAATTACCGGAAGTCAATCTCTGACTGCTTGCTGTCTGCTTCAAAATGGAACAGCACACTGCGCCACCTGAGTCTCTAGCGTTTATTGTAATAACTCTATGTATTCAACACTCAGCACGTTGCATCATGGGACATGGTTGTCCATGGAGAGGATGGCACGGTTTCGGTTGCGATCGTGCCGTTGACGAAGTAGTGCACCTCAGCACTGCACAAAAATAAAGTTGGCACTCGCCCGTATTGCACCCACTCATCTTAGTGACAGCACCCCGTTGAGACACATACCTCCAGTGAAAGGAGCCGCGTTTACATGAATGCGACTTCAACGCATCGACTCCAATCATCCTTCGAATGAAGCCGACGCGGCGACGTTTACACAAAGGCTGTGTCTACACTACAGTGCCGCCCGACGGCACTCCACTCGCGCCCTACAAGTGCCGTCCGAAAGAAAGTCGGACGGCGCGTGTATCACTGGGGAGCTCGTTAACACCCCGCGGCGACAGTATGCGGCTGCCAATTACAAAACTATTCCATCATTTGGCCCCGTCGTACACGCCGCTTTGCGGCGTCCAGCCGGCAAACCAAGCCCTGTTGTCCCTCATGCACCTCCGGAAACGAAGTCCCATACCATTAGGGAGTTTTCGTAGACCGCGCTGCCCCCTCCGCTAAGCGTTCCGCAACGAAGAAGTTGCTACTGTACCTGCGCGCCGATAGCCTTGACTGTGGAGTTCCCGCTATCGTAGCGGGTTGCGGAGGGCCTCGCGGGACGGCGAAAACGATCTACGAAAACTCCCTATTATGTTCAGTAAAATTTCGTCGACAACATTCGTTTTTTTTTTTTTCAGTGTTACTCGTAAAAAAGAAATGTATATATCGCCAAATGCGTCGACAAAACAAACCGTTCGAGAAAAAAAAAAAAGAAAACAAAGAAAGCCTCCACTGGGGATCCAACCCGGGACCGCTGGCTTATGGGGCACACATCTTACCACTAAGAGAGAGAGAGGGAGAGAGAGAAACTTTATTTTAACCGAAGAGTGGAAGCTCTTCGATCTTTGCCCAGGTCCGGGCCTATGTAGCGGTGCCGGTCTCCGTCACCCATCATAGTTTGTGATGAACGAGCGATGGCCACCACAACTTCTGGAGTTCTGGAGGGTGGATACCCCTCGAACCAGCATAGATTCTGGGGCTGCGCAGCAGCCCACCAGAGTCGACATGAATCCCTCTCCCAGTTACCCCAGGACCTCACTCCAAACGGCTGGAAGGATTGGTCCTCCCCCCTTTTAGAACTCTTACCCCTAAGCTACACTACAGCTTCGAAAAATTTGTTTTGAGAACTCATTTTATACGAGACTTTCGGACGGCACTTGAGCGCGTAAGTGGAGTACCTTCGGACAGCACTTAAACTCTCCAAAAGTGCCTTTGGACGGTGCTCTAGAGACTACGTTACATAAACGCGCAGCAAGTCCAACACGAAGGTGGCGCCACGCCGTGTCGGAGATCAAAGTTAAAGGTGCGTTTCCGGCACCAGCCGCACCACGTGACCATGTTTTCCGGTGCATCGCATGTCGAGGCCTTTCGACACCACAGTGAAATCATACCCAGTTGTCCCACTCAAGGCCACTTTCGGTAATCGCGCATACACAGCGCTCCTCAAGCCTGATGGCGATAACTGAAGGTGTAAAACAAAAACAGACAAAAAAAGAAAATAGGGTAAAAAAGAATCGCAGTAGAATAAATTGAATGCGTTAGTGTTAATATTTTTATAAAACATTATAAGCTAGGTTATAATGGTAAACCATTATGAAAAGGAAAAATCGAGTAGTGACCGTTAGATTTCGAAGTTCGTTGCCCTAACCGAAGCCATGTCTTTAAACGTCGCGGGTCGCGTTGTGGGCGTTGTTGGTGTAGCTGTTCTGCGAATGTCCCTTTCCAAGTATACTTCTTTTTCGGCTGGATCCTCGCTTGGCGTTTTAATGTCATGTGAGTTACTGAATCACGCTATGAATGTGTTCTAAATGGGCCTGCTCAGGCAAGAAGCCAAAAAGCCGGGGACTCACTTCGCCGTTCGAGATGCCGGGATTCCGCTTCAAGTTCGTTGCTGGTGGGTGCAAACATTTTTTACATGTGCTCATGCTGTCCTTCGCGTCAGACATGGCACGATCGTCTTTTTTCCAACGCAGTGCATGTGATTCGGTTAATTTCTTAGTATGTACCTCGGACGTGACTTGTAAAACGGTCGAACTTAATTAATTGCTCGTTCACGCTTAATGATTTCGTAACCTGCACGCATCGAAGGTTTCACACCACTTTACTGGAAAAATTTAAAATATCGTTGCAAATGACGCTAGTCAGAGCCGAACCTGGGGTTTGATAATGTATAAAATTATAAAAGAGAAGTTTGCGTCAAAGTATAAGCATAAAAAAAACGCAACATTCTAAAAAGTGAATTTACCAGTTGTTATATATTTACAAACAGGCTGAGCAAGTTGACTGGGTACATTGAACATACTTCTGAATTGACTAGTCAGATGGATGTGCCTCGAAGGGAATTAACGGGAAGGCACCTCTTAAAAGGCCAGTTTCCTGGACTCACACCTGTCTTCTCTTTCTTCTTAGGATACCCTGTGGGTATGACAGCATTTGGCACCTGTCGTTCAGCATGCGTCGAGCTCCCCCCCCCCCCCCTTCCCCCCCCCCCCCCCCCCCCCCCCCCCCCCCCGTCAAGCTCGAGACATAATTTATCTGCGCTTGGCACGTCAAGCTGGGCATGCAGCAAGGCAACCCAACCACAAGCTCCAGACGTAATTTATCTGCGCTTAGACCCACAGTACTTCTCTAACTTAGGAATATAAATAAGGTATGTCTCACTTTGTCCATTCACCCCCCCCCCCCCCCCCCCGTATGCTGTTACTTCCCTTGATCCAGTACGATGGCTCCTCGGAGAATTAAAGAGAATACATCGAGGGCGACAGACGTGTGGAGGCAAGCTGCAAGGGCCGGACACCCGAGAAAAGGACCATCAGTAACCAGGGGGATAAAGTGAGAAAACTCAGGAGGGAGCTCATCATCTGGGCCACAAGAAGGAAATCGGAGACCGTATGCTGGGAAACTCGTCCACCCTCATCCTTTGGTGGTATGAGCATTCTCTGGTCATATTCGTACATGCGGTGAACTGTTACTGAAACTAGGTCGACTCATCCTTCTGCTATAGCTTTGGTAATGCTATGGACTCATGCCATAGCATTACCAAAGCTATGGCACGCGCGAGCCAACCGGAACATTTGGCTGAGGGACGTGACAACATATTGTGGGAGTATACTCCTCCTACGGAGAGCTCTCACAAGCCTTGCATCGTTGCTCTGATTAGCTCCAAAGTGCAGCTGCCTTTTTTTCTTTGTAAACTTAGGTTGAAACAGAGTGAAGCTGTAGGTGTGGCCACAGAAATCGACAGTTCGGCATAACGTTCCTCATGAAGGTTCTGGCATCTATCCTATGATCTTTTATGCAATTATGAATGTTGCAGGCCACAAGTGATCACTCTATAATAACCTGCAACTCGTCATATCTGTTGCATATCTGAAAAAAAAGCAGTGGCTGGGAGGGTTCTCTCCCTCATCACCATCTGTCTCAGTCAGGGCTGTCTTGAAAACCCCTTTCAAGTCATTAGTTAGAAAGGGAATTTCTGGGATACCGCTGACGCATAATAATTTCTGGCTTCTATGAGACTCTTGACAGGAAAAACCTTATGCAGTTGGAACCTGCGAGCCAGGTTTCAAACTGTGAGGACTACATAGATCAAGTCCTGCTTTGTACGAGTCGTCTCTCAGCATTCGGCATGCAAACTGTGGAGCAGTTATGGCAATTGGAGCTTCAGGCTCCTGAATACTGCAACTGTTGCCATCAGCACGACAACCACAGCCGGTTGTCGTGCCAGTAGACCTTGTTCTGAAGTCACCGAAGAAAAAACAATAACCAGTTGCTGCCATCATGTTGTGTTAGCCAGTGGTCAAGAACAAGACTTTTTCTCTCTGGATCTTGAACAAAGTGTTCTTTAATTAGTTTTCTCAAAGCTCTTTGACACACAATGGCACACATAACCTAGCTCAATGAACACCCTACCTGTTAGTAGTGTTTCCAGTTTGTGCTAAATCACGAAAGGAGCCCTTGCAGAATAAGGTAATTTTGTGAAAAAGTAAATTTTTAATTCCTCACACCGGAGATTCCTATCTGTTGGAATTTGGATAGGAGCAAGCTGTTGTCTGCGCTGTTAAAAGCCTTTCTGAAGTCTAACTGGACGATCTCGCACGGAGTTCGATTGTCGAGGCTGGTGCTGAGTGCATGGGTGACAGCTGCAAGGGCCGATTCGCAGCTCCTGCTGGGGCGGAAACCGTATGGGGGGGGAGGGGGGGGGGGGGGGGGGCTAAGGAAGTTTGATAACTCAAGGTGGGCTAAGAGTCGATTTTTAATGACTCTCCATTGTTTGGCAAACGATGGAGGTTATGAAGATTGGTCGGTATGAGTGGATGTCAGACTTGAAGGGGCACCGTGTCCATTCCGAGAGGCTTTACTGACGAAACTTTCCAGAATTTAGGAACAGAGCTGTGGGTGAGAAAATCGTTGACGAGGCGAGTGAGGATGGGAAAGATACGGCCAGCACAGGATTTAAGCAATGCAGGGTGGAGCCGTCTGGTCCAGGGCGTTGAGAGGAGTTGACAGGGGCAAGGGCTTCGTATGTTTCACTTTTAAGAATGATTATGGAAGAGTGTGGTTGCTGGTGTGCCCGCGACTGGCAGAGTTGTGGGTTGGGAGGGTCAAAGGTTAGGTGCGGTAGAGTCGACTTATGCTGCAGCCTGAGAAGAGTGGTAAGGGAAGAGCTCTGCTATGTCTTTAAGATTGGAATAGCGCCTGCCGGGATGTGTGAAACGGCGCATGGAACATTTTTTTTTTCATAGTGAAAACATGCCCAAGAGTTTGGTTTGGCAGGTTGCGTTTGCTGCTAGTTGCTGTAGGGAATCGTTATGGGAGATATGAACGAGATGCTTGACTTCGGTACTTGCTTGGTTAAGATGAGTGGTATTTCGAGTTTTTTGCGCTTTTTTGAACAGCCAGTGTTTACTGTCTGATTAAGACTGAAATGTCCTTTGTCATCCATGGAAGGCTGCCGCACCTCCAGTTGATCCTTAAGGTGAACACGATTGTACTGAATTGTTGATATGTTGAGCGAGAGGTCGTAGGCTCCGTCAGCCGATGATTGATCATACACGGTCGACCAGGGAGCGAGGTGGATAAGCTGATTGAGGTGAGGGGAATTGTTTTTTTAGAACTGATGGGAACTTCCTGGCTTGATGGCTCTCGCACATTGTCCTTTTTTTCTTGGCTCAAAACACTTTAGTCAACGTCATAATAAAGCCGTTATTATAGGTATTTCGCACATTTGACCTCGTAAATCCCGCAAAACCTTCGCTGTTTTGAAATGCTGTTCCAGGGTTACCGCATAGATGGCGCCAGTGTGCCAGTATGTTCTCTCGTCCTAAGAAATTTTAAGAGATTTCAACAAGTCCTGTCTCTCTTGGTCGTACTCGTTTGCAAGAGTGTGAACGGGCCTTAAGTCTTACTTCCCAAGGCTTGGACGGGGTTAGAAACAAGTACTGGGTCAGTTGCCAGTTGGTAATGCATTAGAGAGGACAAGAGCGCAAAAGGCACGGACAAGTAGAAGAGCGCTTTGTCCTGTCCTGCCCTGTTCTACTTGTCCGTGTCCTCTGCGCTTTTGTTCTCTATAACTTGGACGGGGGCCGCCCTCACCGAGCAGTTAGGCTATATTCTGCTCACTGTGATGGCAATAAAACCTCGCGTTTCTCTCCGGAAGATAACTGCGGGCGACCACACGAGACCGCTCTCCGCGCCGCCTACGAGGTTGGCCGCCGCCATGTTCTCAGCTGTTCACTTGCTCCCGCAGCGAGCGCCCTTCCCCTAATTCTCCCCGTTCCTAAATGCGATGCGGCCTCCGTTTACGTGGGCTGAATGAATGCGCATTCGCCACCTCGGTCCAGATCTGTCTAGCGACTTGAATGCGATGCGCTTCCTTAGCGCTTTATGCCGTTTACATGACCGCATTGAATGTGACAACTAGATTCGATGCGACAAAGTCGCATTTATGCGAACTATGCTAGGGCCTGCCTAAGATTAGCGAGGAGTAGAAGTACGACCTGCAACGTCCCATACTTATCTGGCGGCCTGGCCTTGAAATGCAGCATGAGCCTACCGGCTCACGGATTAATTAAGAGGAGCCGACAAAACAGGGCGACTGGCCCAGTATACTTCCTTCACGTGCCATCGTCGTCCTGCGTTTACCTGCGCACAAACTCCGACATGTTGGGAGCCCGAAAAAAACGTACTCCTGCAGCATTCCATCCATATCGGTAGGCAACACCAACAGTATAATAAATTTAAGGAAAGTAGCATATTTGAAACCACGAGCACTGTATTTCACTTGACGCGACGTCGTGAAGTGAGGTTGGCCTATCGAAACCGAAACCTAGAAGACAACCGGTACCAAAGATGCTTTGTGCGGCATTGCGCCGCCAGGATCGCTTCGATTGGGAAAGAATCGAAGTCAATGCCCGATACAGAGCCCAATGGCGGGCGTCTTTCGACGCGTTGATTGGACACGAGGCTATGCCGAACGCCGACCGCAGCACTCGTCTACAATCTTTGTCTTCGCTCCATCTCACTATGATGTGATGACATGAAAATTCTAATGCACAGGCTTTGAGCATTGAACGTGGAGTTGGCCAAGACTACGACTAATTTCCATCGCGTTCCTTGAACACGTCACCAAACTTGATTATCTCAAGGGATTAGTCACCGCGATCAGAATTGACACGCAACATCGCCGTTACATCTACGTCAGAGGGCGCCTTTGAAACGTCAATGGCACGTACTCATTTGCCGCCATACCTGTACTACGTTGAGGGTGTTGCTGCGTGGCAGCGAGCTTCCACCGTGCTTCATTTGTTACCACCGAAATTCTCCCGTCTTAGCCCTCCTATATTGAAGATGATTCTTACCCCGGAGAAAAGCCAGAGAACTAATGTAGGGCTCCACCTCAAGGACGACCTGCGGCCTGTCTGTGAAGGTGTGCGCCTCTTTGACAAAGATCTGCCGCACCAGGTCCAGATCCGTGACGACCATGCAGGGTTTTTCGGCCATGAAGAACCCGAACACCTTCCCGTACCGGTCGACCCATTGTTGCATCACCTGCGTAGAGGCCGAAGCGTTCAATCTCTTCAGAAAATCAGAAAAATCCTCCTGTATATTCTAGGAAATAGGACACCGCCGTAAGTTTATCATAATCCCGCCAGCTCAAAAAACGCAGGGCGTGGCCTAATATGATAATCACGCCTCTTGCCATCATCATTGGTTCTCCGGCGTTCTTATCCACCAATGCCGCAATCTGATTGGCTGCCGAGCGATGTAGATGGGCTCGGGACTCGCCACGCTCTGCGTTTTTTTCAGCTGGAAGTGACCATAGTCGGCGGGCGATACGGTATCTAACGTAAGTAACGAGGTATTCGAGAGCTTCAGTAGATTGTTCCGATGCCTCCGGTAACGATACCCGATACTCCGTCACCGCCTTTGCTCACGCATCGTATTGTTATCGGGTATCGTTATTGGGGTTATCGGGTGTTTTGAAACGATCTACTAAATCTCTTTGTTACCACTCAAATTATGCATTTGGGTTTCGGAAGGGCTCAGTCGTGGCCCTTATCAAGGTTCAAGTTTGACCGGGTTTGTATTTTTCTAACTTTCAACGGAAAGTATACAGGGTGTTTCAGAGAACGCAGGTCAAATCGCTCCGGCGTAAACTAAGCATCGCACAGAAAAAAGGCTAATGCCGTGTTGGTGTCTGCCCAAGAATCTATTTTGAAAAAAAAAAAAAAAAAAATAAATAACGTTTGGAACAATTAGTTTTTGTTCTGTTTTTTAGAAAGTAACTTTTTGTTCTGTTTTTTAGAAAGTAACTTTTTATTTGTTCATTTTAAGGCCACAGTTTCAATTGGAAACTTACTGGGCATCATCGATAACCCATATATCAAAACGTTTTAGACAAGTATAAAGCATGCCGAGCATTTTACCATGTTTTGAAAAACCCTTTAATTCTGACGGGAAATGATTGGGTCGAAAAGAGGCGTAGGCCTAAAATGAGGTGTGCTCCGCAACACGGAGCATGACTGAAACACGAGAAACGTCGGTGTCACATTTTAGACTTGATTTTTAAGTTTAGACTTATTTTCAGCCTGTTCATTTGTCTGCGTATATCGCAATTATTGGCTCTTTGACTGTTTAACGAGAAAGTGCACCCATGGGCATTTTTAAGTACACAGAAAACGTTTGCCATAGTATCAGACAGCACGCATCATGCCTATACAGCAAAGCTTTTGCAGACTCGCGAAATAATGCGCGCCTGACTTGTCTTTTCTTAGCCATACATCGCGACAGAGCGGGTCGGGGGCCCGCTCAATTGTGGTACTTCCCTACGGACTATGACCAGACTTCGAATATCGCGTTATGCTCCTGGGCTTATTTTTAACGAAGAAATAGGAAACGTGACTTGCAAATCTCACGCAGCCTTTTGCGTTAAATTCTAAAATCTGAAAGCTTTCGCGTTTTGCGGGTTCCCAGCGGAGAACACGGGAACCTACAAAGAGGGAAAGGTCGAGTCTATCCAAACGCGCAGCGACAGTCCACTCTTTTTCCCGTATCGCCACCTACCGGCAAAGGTTGAAAGGTTGTTGTGGCCGTGTTTGAGGGTTTCTAGTTTTCCAGGGCGTCGGATTTTTGTCTAGTTCATGTGTCTCCGCTACTTTTCGGTGACAGCTGAAGATTGCCGACGACGAGGACATCCCATTCCCGTTTCAACCTGACAGCTGGGTTGAGAAGCCACCGTAGTTCACGGGCCTATCCTCAAGACGAAGTGTGACGCGATACCTTTCGTAAAAGCGCAATTTTTGTTCATCGCTCGTGTGACTGAGATCTGACAGCTCTTTCGTGTAAGCGAACACAGCCGGCAAAATGTCTGGGTGATGGTTGTCTTTGGATGGTTTCCCTGCTTATTAGCGGCAATGTAACGATCACGCAACCTTCTAAGTTGCTTTTCTGAGGAATTAATGCGAAAGAACTGTGATGAAGTGAGCTGCGCATAGTCGGGAATGCTTATTCACCTCCCCAAGTCTTTGTAGGGTCTGAAGGATCAACCATCATCACTGCTCAAACCGACGCCGCCCTTCAAGCAAAATCACATTTTGTAAAAAAAAAAGTTTTTTTTTTGGCCGATGCCGATTTTGACATTAGAACGCAACACAGCGCCTTGTGATCGCCCAAGCACACCGAAGATCACACGCCGCGGATTACGTCAAGCAAAATGGCAGCCTTGTTTTCCACCCAGCCTGATCCGACTTGGGAACACGTGCGTTGTGTAACTCTCAAACTGGTAAGCCGGAAAAGGTTCGATTGGCGCGTTCTTCCGGTCAAGACGTGAAACAGCGGAACGAGGAGAAAAAACACGGGTTGGGGGTTGAGGGTATAGCACTGGCGATACGAGCCTGGCTATAGAAGAAGCCAGGGGTGGGCAACATACTTCGAAAAGTGTATCGTAACACAAATACAAAATACTTCGGCAAAGAGGTATTTAATTAAAAGCACAATTAGTTATGTAAACAGGTATTATTCGACATACTACAAAAATGATTTTATCTTAATTAAATATGTTTCAAATACATTTGATTCCCATAGCTTGATGGAGAAATAATAAAAATAGACTAAATGCTCCGATAACCAAGTGCATGAAGCGGCAATATCAGATCTGACAATAAATCTATTTGACGCCACTGAACTATAAGATAAGGCGGGATAAATATTATGCAGTCCGTGATAGGCAATGGACTTGTAAAACAAAAGAAAAAACGAAATTTGTTCCAGGAGGCGAGGGCGTTATATCATTTGACCTCTTTATCACTCATTCGTGTTTCACAGAACAAAAGCTACAGAGAAGAGCAAAACAAGTGAACCACTGAGGTCGAATGCTTCAACTTGAAAAAAAGCTTGCTGTCCGATAACCGTCTGCAAGCATTTTGCAGGGGAAAATGAGTGCAACCCAAAAAACAAAGCCAATTTTTAAATTCCTCCCGTCCGTTCCTTGTTTCACCATTCTATATTTTTTGTAAGGTTATTGTGATCGACACTGCTAAGAATCATATTTTGACATACGAATCCCATTGCCAAGATAAGGCCGAATGTATTATATAGCTGAGGGTCCTTGAATGGTTGGTGCCAACAGTTTGTTCCTTATCTCGTGTCTCTCATCGCTAGTTGATTTCAGATACCAGACATCCTGTTACAGTTGATGTGAATGACCATCGTATCAGCGTGCGACGGGTACGTTGTCAGACGTTTATATATATACCGGGTGTTCATTTTTAATTCGAACAGATTCATTAAAAAAGATCCGTGAAAGATGCACTGATACTGTTTGTGGAGGTGAGTTAGACAACCAGGGGGACATATTATAGGGGGCTAATCGTAACGATCACTTGGCTAATTAATTGAAATTCGTTAATTAACTTTTTAATTAATTAAAATAGACATATGGTTCCAATTAGAAACTTGCACAGCGTCACCGAAAACCACTAAATCAGTCATTTTCAGAAAGACTTTGAGCTCGTGAGAAGCGTAGTAGTGCACTAAAGTTACGACTCGTGGAGCAGGTACAAGGCTGGGGCTAAATAAGAAACGGAAAAATCGCGCGGGCGCCTTACCGCAACCGCTAGCTTTGTACCTGCTCCACGAGTGGTAACTTTAGTGCACTACTACGCTTCTCACGCCTGAAAATGATTGATTTAGTGCTTTTCGATGACGCTGAGCAAGTTTCTAATTGGAACCATATGTCTATTTTCATTAATTAAAAAGTTAAATATTGAATTTTAGTTAATTAGCCAACTGATCGTTACGATTAGCCCCCTATAATATGTCCCCCATGGCCGTATAACTCACCTCCACAAACAGCATAAGTGTAACTTTCACGGATTTTTTAAAATAAATGTGATGGAATTAAAAATGAACACCCGGTATATTCTTTCTCTGCGAATTAGCAGTCGCATTGCACCGACAATTTGCTTATATCAAAACCAACAATGTCATTTCTCAACAACAGATCGACCTTCGGCTGACTGAACACCGAGACGTGTTATTTGCTCTCGCAATGGCGGTCGTATTTGAAAATTTATTTAACTACCAGTGTATTTCAAGGACCTATAGGTCTTTGTTTAACTAAATACAACCTACGAATACATTATGCAAATATGTAGTTAAGTAACAAATACAAAATAGTAAAATTATTTTATATACACGTATTTCAAAAACTGCCGATCCCCGGAAGAAAAAAAAAATTTATGACTTTTAGCAAACCGTTACCGTGTTCCTCGTACCTCAATACCTGAGCCTTTGAAGCGTGCTTTTAAGCGCGCACCTCGCGGTCATGATATCACCCGGTTGCGCGCTTAAAAGCACGCTTCAAAGGCTTCGCTGTTGCGGTACTGGTAACGGTTTGTCTAATACCCCTGTCAGACGGGCTAGTTTAGTGTCACTACAAGCGAGTGCACTTCGCGCTTAGTGTCATTTCTGTAGTGTGCCACACGGCTCCTTCCTGAGGAACGCACTTCGCTTGGAGTGAGTTTGACGAACTCACTTCGCTCGATCGAGCGCGTGGAATCAGTAGGAGTGTTTCAACAGTAAAACATATCAACACAGAAACCAAAAGCGTTGCGTAAGTTTTATTTTATAAAGAAAAATAAATTGGTGAAAGAGACGACATGTAAAAGAGTGGCATTGCAAAAAAAAAAAAAAAAAATAGTGGGGTGGATTTGGAGTTTAGGCTGATCTGAATCAAGATTAGCGGAGCGCTGAATTGATAAAAGACGACGACAAAGTCAGTCATTCATGGCTATCTTGGTTAGCAGAGAATGATAAAACCTACTTTTGTTTCAGCATGTAACTATTCGAGACAACACGATAATTATGATTTGATTAGGCAGTGTCAGGGGCCTCCTCTTAGACTTCCGTGGAACAAGCCGAACGCCAAAGTTGGATATGCTTCGTTCTTTATTTTGGCTTGCAATGATCGATCAGAATCAACCAATTGGCATAAAAATCGTTCATTAATGTAACGTTGTTTTAGAGCACAGCTCCTAGGCACCCGTTTTTGTGTTGAGCGGCGTCGGCGTAACCGCGCGTTGCATTAAGGGCTGTTCCCAAAATTACGTCACATGTGACGTCACGTGTGTCGTCACATGTGACGTCACGAGGGTAAAATTTTCCTGCTAAATTTCGCGGTAAAAGTTTTTGCTAAGTTTGGCGGAAAATTTTTTTGTTAAATTTAGAGGAAAATCTTTGCCCGTGTGACGTCACGTGACGTCACACTTAAAATTTCAGATGACGTGTCATGTGACGTCACACGTCAATTCAGCGGGAAATTTTTCCGGCTAAATTTAGCAGGAAATTTAGCGAAATTTTTAGGCTAAGTGGGATGGGAACAGGAGAGGAGGATGGGAGGGTACGGAGGGGGAGCAGCTGGTATACCCTCCACTTCGTACTCTTCCTCCCTCCTCCTGAAGAGCTGCGCTCCGATTCGGCATTACAGAGAATTGTAAACGTCACATTTTTTTAACGTGTCTTTATTAAGGGGTATCGGTGGCCGAGTTGGCAAGCGCCCACCAGATCGAAGTACGTGGAGAGAAAGCTCGCGCTGGAGAGGAACCCAGTGATCCTGAGCTCAATCCCCCAGCCCTGCCCGAAGAACACACTTCCAATGAAGTGAGTTCGGGGAGCACACTACGCTCGCTCCGGTAGACCAAGTGTGTAATCTCGATAGCAGTGTTCAAGGAGTTAAAATAATAGAAGAAATGAACGCTGCGTAAAATTAGCATTATTTTGATAGGAGTAATATTAGTTGCGCACTTGTTTCCTGTTGGCAGGAAAGTAGTGCATTATAGAAAAAAAAGCGGCTGATCTAGTTTTCAACCTTGGCCCCTGCGCGACGGCCAGCGACGCCCAGGAGGCACCTGCAAGACTCCACCAGGAATCTGAAGGTGGCAGGAGAGACGCGAAAGGCTTGCTTGAAATAGAACTCGCCCAAATGGGGCAATGTGTCTTCGAACCACCGTTCGTTCCTCTGGAAAGTCCACCGTTCTCGAATAATCACGGGTAGGTTGTCGGTCATTAGAGCGGCTATGGTGAAGGCATCGGCCGGCAGCTGCTGATCGATGTCACTTGAAATTCTTGCCTGTGAGTCGGCATCCAGGTCCAGCTGCCTCTTATCTGAAAGGCGCTGGGCTCTCACGGAGAAAAGTGCCCCAACCACGCGCTTCCACTGTCCAACATAGCGGATATCGCCCTCCAGCTCGTCCTCCACAGACTCCATGATGTTTCATTGTGACGAGTGGCGAGTGGCCGAGTGGGTTCGCGCACACCAGCTCGGAGCACGCGAAGCGAAAGCTCGCGCTGCAGAACACAGGAATCCTGGGTTCAATCCCTACTTCTGCTCGTTTCAATCTATACTCCGTTTCACCTCATGTTGTGCCGCAGCGAAGGCTAGATGCGCGAGCTCATAGCGTTGGGAGCTACTCTTAACGCACGAGAGCTTGTGCCGCCGAGATGTGCCCTAGAGCAAGGAGCTCGCGCTTGTAGCCTTTCCTGCGGTACATCATAAGGTAAAACAGAGTATCGTACCGTCGTGCGGACATGTATCACTGGCTTGAAATGGCTGATCGTAATGATCACATTGGATTTAAATTAAGATTCAAACTCGTGACTTAGCGCAACAATGTGCGGTAACGTGTTTCTGATAAGACGACGAAGTTATTTATGAAAAAATGCGTATGCACTGTAATATGTTGCGTGCCCATTACTTACCCATCGTTATTGCCATCATTTTGGAGTGACACTAAGTTTTCCCGTGTAGCACCAACACACTTGGAGTGTGTTTCGACGGGTTGAAGTGCACTCGCTTGTAGTGACACTAAACTAGCCCGTCTGACAGGGGTATAAAACTCCCTAATGTCGGTCGCGTGTTACAGTCAACAAATTTGGGTACTACCTGGAGGCGATCCTTCTTGAGTTGGTTCCAGTTGCCCCAGAAAAGCTCCGGACTGGGCCCCGGTATACCGTGTCGTCGAAACAGCCCGTGAGCGTGACGACGCTTGAACACCCAGAACAGGACGCCCGGTACCAGCACCAGGAGCAGGAAATTCGTCGCGGTCCAAATTAAGTCTGGCATAGCGAACGACCTGGGCCGGCGAGCGTCTTACGGGAGGATGTTGCCGCCAGCCGACAGGATATCCGACCCCTTCACAAAGAAGGATATCTCGCCAAATCGACGAGCAAGAACTTATCGTCAAGATATGAGGGCACGCCATTCCGTGTGACAGACATGTACACGTCTCTCAAATAAACTAACCAAATATTGCTCGTTACTCAATTAAAAAGCAACTAAATATACGATATTCTTTACTGAGATTTAAAAGGATCGCGTTACATCACATAGAAAGTAACGCGTTATTTTCTCGTTACTCTGTATGTTTCGTGTTTACGATCCAGTAACCGCTTCCAATATTTGTGGACGTTAATAATTCATCGTTTTTTTAATGCCTTTATTCGGGGATGACTCTGGCTATGCTGGCATACGTTGCGAACAACTTTTTATGGTCTATCTAAAGTTTTCTCGTCATGCAAAGTACAGGCACGAGCTGGGGTGTGAGCTATGAGTTGGGCCCTTGCGTTTACACGTTCCCCTCAACAACTAAACTTTTTGGCAGGTCATTACTCATCTCCTTTTAAATACTGTTTTGTGGGATTGATGTCATTCGAGAGGCAATGCAATCTTCTTTCATTTGATATTATGTATGTCGGTGTTTTTACTGTTCATGCGCATTTGTAGCGTTCAATGCGAACATGATGGCGCGGACCCTGACTTGCTCCGCTAGTTCATGTTTTATGAACGATTCATTAAAGATAACACCAAATACCGTGGAAGCCAATACTGGCAACCCCCGCGGAAAACGGGCGAAAAGTGACTGCAGCGCCCCTGGCGAGCTCGGAGTCTCCGCTAGCAGACAAATTCTCCAAAAGGGAGGCACTCACTTGATCGAATGACGTTTTAGCGAACGCCCACGTTTCATCGAACGACACTTTAGCGAATAGTCGGACGCCGCGAAGCGGCGTTTTCGGGTGGGCCAAGTGAGTTCATATTTTTGTAATGAGTTGCCGCAGACTGTCGCCGCGAAGCGGCGTAAAGCGCAGCGCGACGGATGGGTTAACGCGCGCCCCCGTTATTCGCTAAAACGAGCATTCGCTCAAATGTCGCCGTTCGCTAAAATGTCATTCGCTCTTGTGATATGGACCCCTCCAAAATGCATTGGTTTTGCCTATCTCCGTGCGAGGTGACCAACGAAAAAAACTTGTCACGGGCATTCGCTGCTTTGAAAGTTAAGAAAATGGGTGCCAGCTCATGAGTGAAGGACATTCTCTTCGCGTGGGAAAGATGTTACAGCTTTCTGGGCGCAATTTCGGAGTTCTCCCGAAGAAAACATTCTGTCACAACTTATGTAAGCCAAGCAAAACACGGATGTATGCCTTCACGCTGTTTCGTGAAAAAGGGAAATGTACAAACATTTCAGAACGTAGCATCGTTTCAACGTTATTGTTCTTATCAGTCAATTCGTTTTGTCGTTGCAATTCCCATTTTTCATGAATGTCTTGCTTTTAACCGTTTCGTCGAACAGGCGAGCTGGCTAATCCCGTTAAGATCGTCTCGGATGAAGAAGCAGAAGTCAATTTTGAACCACGTACGTTACGGCGATGTCAGTACGCTCCGAAAGAAGTCGTTGTGCATATGCAAATCTGACGCGATTGTAGATTAACAAAAGCGGAGTTACGAAAAAAGCAGACTTCTCGCGCTTGCAAAGAAAGAAGGGGAGAGCGTCGTAGCCCCGCGAAAAAAGGCGATTTCAGCCACGTTATTTTCAGTGCACAAATTCCGATTGTTAGCGCGGGGACGACCAACATCTTCTGCTTCGCTGCTTCTTCTACGACAAAGGCCGACACCCGTTGAACTGTCTCCACTTTTTCCATTTTTGAGTCTTCTTTCTTTTATATTTTTGAGGCGACGCCACTCTGCCGCGTTATTTCTTCCTCCTGCTTATATGTTGCTGTGTGTAATTTTTGTTTTCTTTTTGCTTTTTTTTTTTTTTTTTTGCCCGACGTGTAAAACATTGTGTATCCTTGCTTTCTTTGGCTTAGCTTTTACTCCCTTTCCTTCGCTTCGGCGCTACTACCCCTGGTTCGTCTGTGCTAGGCCCGGGCATTTTGAGGGCTGTCTGCAACTTTGCTGTTGTTGTTGTTTTCTTCCACTGTCGTCTGCGATGACCTCCTATTTTCGCCTTAGATTGAGTTTCTAATCCAAAATCGTCATACGTGCTTTTTGATTTTATTAAATATATTAGGAAATGTAAGCTCGTTATACATTTTTATTCGAATTTTATTTGTGTACTCCGGCCGGCACGTCTGCTACGGGTCATCGTTTGGTGATCAACCGGCCGCATTCGAGCATACACCAGAGCATACTTAGAGATGGCAGGCATGCTATGTGCTGCCTACCATTGCAAGAACAAGCTTGTGCGATGTGGTGGAAAATCTTTCTTCTGCTTCCTACGTCAACCTACGGACACCTACGTCAACAAGTACTTGAATGCACTTTTAAACTGCTTCATCAAGCGAGCGAACGAACAACCCGCCAAAGTCACTGCAAAAAGAAATTCGAAAGCAAAAAAAAGGTTGCTCACTGCTAGCACATATAGAAGATTGCTGCCTGCGACCAAAACATTTCTGCGACTCTTTTTTAGCGGGCAGTGTGAGCTGCACTACGTTATTTATTTCCCCTGTTTTGTTTTTAGTTCGTACCTACGCCGCGAAAGCAAATAAAGAAGTGTATAGCAAGCAGCTGAAAAAAAAAAAAAAAGGACGCATTCTTCTTTTTTCATCAGTTTCGTCTGTTGCTTCCGCTTTGTTTGTCGTGAACTCAACACCGGTGGCGACCACCAGCTACTCATTTGCTGCTTTCCATTTTTCTTTTTTTTTTTTTCTTTTTTCTATAAGCGCCGCAACGATCGTCGTCGTTGAAATAGTTTTCTGCTAGCTTCTTTGTTTTATTCGCCGTTATTCGTTTCTCTTTCCCGTTTCTTTTTATTTTCGTCGGGAATGGCGACACCATTTTTTCTGCAAAGTTCGGTAAGTGTTCGCACGGTCATTTTTATCCATACTTTTTGTTTTGTTTTTATGCTCCAGCAGCTCGTGCGCTTGCTCTGGTAATATTAACATGTCGTTTTTGCATGTTTAATGATTACGACGTAGTTCGAGTAGCTAAACGTCTTTTTTCCGCTTCCCAGACGCGTTTCAAACGCGTGTAACCTCCTGAGAGGCGTTCGATATCGCTAAATAAACTGCTCTATCTTTGTTTATGCGCGCGTTGTTATTCGATTGTCGTTGCAGTTGCGATCAGTGGATTCCCCTTGGCAAGTGGACTGACCGTAATAAATTGTTTCTTCTGTTAGGGTGACGAAACGGGGCTTGTAATGCTCGAGGACGTCGCGGAGCCTATACTTTTCCATTGCGTCGACTGCTTCCGTAGACTCCGAGTCCGCTAGAGGCGCCACTGTCACGTTCGCCGCCGCTTCTATGTGTTTTCGGAGGAGTTTCCAGTATTGGCGAAGCTATATCGTATTTGATAACAGTTTTGTTAAGATGATGTCGGAGCAGAATGTAACGATACACTTTTTTGGTATTTCCACTACTTTTGTTTTTTATCCCACCAAATATTGCCCTAAAATTGGCATTTTTCAGCAAAAATATGTTTTAATGACACATGCTAGGGCAATGAAATTAGCTACAGATGTAGTGCTTATAATTGATAATGTGCAGAAAAAAATTTAATGTTGTGTAAATTTTTTTTTGTTTACACAACATTTTTTTTTTGTAAATTTTATATCAAACGCAGCACTTTTTTGTGCTTCGAGTCATGGCACTTCAAATGCCGCTGAGGAAATAATTAAACTATGATAAAATCTTTTATAACATTTAGAGCTACAATGGTTGCCCAAAAGGTGGACGATGGCTTTTTTTTTTTTTTTTCAAAGTCATAACGCTCCAGGAGCGTTTCAAACTTACCTGTTTTGACGCATATATTTTTTGGACATCAAACAGATTTATTGACATCTGATAATATTTATTCTTTGGAATAGATATACATTGCGATGTATCAAATTTTAACAATGATCTTGCTTTGGTTTCTTAACAAATGTAGAGCTTAGCTAATTTTAAGAACAATTAAAACTGTCTGGGTGTTTTGTTGCGCTACCTGGCGGATGGCAGACAAACGGCTGATTTCTAATGTTCAAAAAATTTCCGAGGGCGGCGTTGGCGTCTGTATCATCATCAATCTCCATGTCTTTTTACCCTCACATTTAAAAAATATATTGGAGGATTTACTATCAATAACTGAATGGTTTAAGTATTGGGTGAGGTTAATAAATCTAACACAAATGATTACACAAGCGTAGCGTGATATAATGTGTTCATTATTCGATATGATTGAAATCAATAAGCAATGAAGACGAAGAGGAAAAGAATACACCCGAGTTCACTTTATGCCTAGAGTCACTATATGAGCTTTAGAGGACCGGTGCAACGATATTCAATTGGAATGTTTTTCACTCTACACGAGCTTACTGGCACACCTGGGACTCAAGGATACCCACACGCAACGCCACTGGCCAAGAAACTCCTTTGTTGCGGTGTAATTTCAAGGACAAAAGCGATCATTTTCATTCAATCTCTCCTTTGCAAAATTTGATGACGTAACGTGGGGATCGCACTACACCCAAGTGACGATATTTGAATGCGGTTCATAGATTGGACCCGAGCATTGCGTGGGCACTCGACTTGGGCTCGTGATAATTGCTAGTTCGAGAAGTATTCGGGTAGTGACCCGTGTCAAATCGCTGCAACGACGACAACAGCCGAGCCATAACAATGTCTGGAGCTCAGCGCGTGTCCTGCGCTTTGCCAACCCCAGCGCGTGGGTATGATCAACATTGGCGGCATATAATCGGCTCCAGATCACGTGGCCGCTTGTTCTGGCTGTGGGTTGAGGGGGTGAACGCTGCTCGTTTTTCTTAAATTTTTTTCTGGAACTTCTATCGCTTGGGGTGAAGAACGAACGCGTGTTTCATAGGTCATTAACGTTAGGGATCCGTTTTAAGCGGTATTTGCGCAAAGTACAAAA